TTCACCTGCCTCAGCCTCCCAAAGTGCTGGGATTATAGGCATGAGCCACTGCGCCTGGCCGTGTGGCTACACAAAAGTAGCTGTGTATTTGTTTTATGGGCTCTTCTAATAAGTATTTCTAGATAATATGTAGCCCATGAAACTACCATAAGTGAAAGAATAGTGACTTTTCATAGTTTTTCATCTTTTACTCACCTTCTCTCACCAGGATGAAGATCAGGCTTATTAGGAGGTGATATGATATGTTTAGGGATTTAGTTAACTGCGTATTTAGGATGAATTTAAAATTGGCAGGATGATGAGGATGCCAGAAAAGCTAATGTAGTTTCAGACTACATTAATAGATTTTATAGTACCTTGTTTGTGGGAAATAATAGACCTTTTGTTCCACATACTGGTCAGACCACAGTTGGATTATCATGTTCACCAGATTTTGTACAGTCAGCATTTTAAGTTGACTGGAATGTGTCTTGGGAAATATGACTGAAGTGGTGAGAAGTGTGAATACTATGTTGTTTGTACACTAGTTGAAGGAACTGGTAATATTTTTCTCGTAGGCCAGAAAAAGGCATATGGAGAACTTGGTCCTCATATGAAAGACGGAACATGTTAGTTCTATTTGCCTCAGGTGGGAGAATAAATTGGAGAAAGGCAGATTTTAGGTCAGAATATGGAAGAAATTTATAAGAAATACAGTTACGTAAATGTAAAATGGACAGTTATGAATTAGAGTTTGTCAAGGATCTTGTCAGAAGAGGCATTAGTACTGGATGGAAGGTTGGACCAGAAGTCTTCTAACGCTGATGCAGCTTGACAGCTGAATAATTTTGTGGGAGCTAGCAGTGTAAGCAGAGTACATAAATAAATTACATTTTAATTTTTTGGTTTACAGGTGCTTATGAATCAACAAAATGGAAAAGTATTTTATACAACTTATATGATCTGCTAGTGAATGAGATAAGTCATATAGGAAGTAGAGGAAAGTATTCTTCAGGATTTCGTAATATTGCCGTCAAAGAAAATTTGATTGAATTGATGGCAGATATTTGTCACCAGGTACAGTAAGTAGGTCATGTCACATTTAGAAATTTCATGTTAATTTTTTTAAAAAACTGGGCATTTTGGGCTTTTAAAACCTGTGTTTTCACAAAAAGCCTATAAAATGACTGTACATGCAATTATTCCTTTCAAAATATCAGAAATATTTGGAATTACCCTTTTAACTTAAAAGTTAATGCATTTGCAGATATAGACTTATTGAAAACTAACAATGAACTTTTTCATTCTTAAATGATTGTCTCTAGGAAATAAGGTGACCCTAACCCTAATGATTCGATTCGATTTAACTCTATTTTACAAAGTGCTGGAATTACAGGCATGAGCCACCAAGCCCAGTCTGTTTCTTTTTTTGCAATTAAGCTAGAGTTCACGTAGCATAAAATTCATGATTTTGCATTGTACATTTCAGTAGTTTTTAGTATTTTTACTATGTTGTACAACCATCATCACTAATTCCAGAAACTTTTTTTTTTTTTTTTGAGATGGAGTCTCACTCTGTCACCCAGGCTGGAGTGCAGTGGCGCAGTCTCGGCTCACTGCAGCCTCACCTTCCCA